CCTGACCAGAGAGGCAGCACTGTTTGGACATCTAGTCAAGCAGCAAAGGACCCCAACAACCTACTCTGACAAGTTCATTTCCTGCTTCAGAAATGTCCTGTGGAAGGCCAGGAACTTACTCGTGTACAAGCACTCAAACCTCTCAGTCAAAGACTGCATCAAGATGGGACTTAGTGAACTGCAGGGGTACTACAGGAAGACGGTATAAGACAACAGGGAGAAAGCAGCAGCGATAATATGCAAAAGAAGAGACTGGCACAGACTATTTAGGAGTGGGGCACCCCAGAGAAGATGATGAGAAGGAAGACAGTGGTGACAGTGATGAAGAGGGGGTGAGTGACAAGAATAATAGGGAAGAAGAGAGCAATGAAGACGGCATAGACTAAGGACTAGAAGGAAAAACAGAGGGGTTTTGGAAGGTGGGGGGAGGAGAGTAGAGGGAATGGAGGTTGTCTATGCATGATTGTAATAGGATTGTGATGCCTGCATTCCCTACCTCCCACCCAGTGGTGGGGAAATGGAGCAAGCAGGGAGCAGACGCTAAAAGGGGAAACGTGCACCACCACTGCTGTGCCTGGCAGAGCCCAGCACTCCACACAGCCTGTAGATGGAGTTCCTTATAGCTCCTCTTATGCGTGTCAGCCCAGGTACAGCAATGGAGAGTAGGTTCCTCTTGTTAGCATTTGCTCCCTGCCAGCTTCCCTGTGTCCTCCACACACCTGGGACCTCCAACCATGTCTTGTCTGCATCTCCCCTGTGGTCTGCCCTAGGCATGTCACACCTCCTGTTAGGAAATCCAGGATCCACCCATGACACTGAGGGAACTTGGTGGTTCAGAATCGTACCTTTATTTATTGTTCTCCATTTATAAGCTAGTTAGAAGGAAAAAGTTTGATGTGTTAACTTTCTTAAAGGAACCTACATTCCATTCAGCAGCATTTAAAAAGTGCTTATAAAATATTGTTAGTACCACTGAACAGCGAGTTGTGCAAGGCATGAAATACATGGCTTTGCTTGGTTGTATTGCCCAGCCTGTGCTATCTATGACTATGCCAGGGGCTACCCTCCACACAATAGTACTAGTTGGGTGGAGGTTACAGTTTGGAGCAGGAATAAAAATCAGGATTGGAAGCAGAAATTAAGATACACAAAGCCACAGCAGCAGCCTTAGAAATCTTCATAAATAGGATTGTTCTTTTATATATTTGTACAGCTCCTAGCACAATTATCTTTGTGTATTATAAATGCAGGATTCTGGTTACGAGTTATTTTTAGATGGGGAGAACAAGTATAAGGGCACCCTAGGACAGGGGCGAGCAATTATTTCAAGGAGAGGGCCATTTACCGAGTTTTGGCAAGCTGTTGAGGTCTGTAGCCCTGCCCCTTGACAGATGCCCTGCCCTTGGTTGCCATCTTGTGCCTGGAAGTCCTGCCCCCTAACCCCTGACCTTTGCCACCAGAAGTCCCTCCCCTTGCCCCTGGAAGTACTCCTTTCAGAAGGGATTTTGCCATCTTGGAATCAGAAAAATACCAAATTAAATTCTAAAAAGCAAACATCTAAAACATTCATTAATTTGATTTCAAAAAATACTTTTGTCATGGTTTAATGGGGGGCTGTGGGTGTGTGGGTTTGTGGCATGTAGGGGAGGGTTTGGGTGTGTCGGTGGGGGGGTGGATAGGTGTTGGGGTATGGGTGTGGGGTGCAAGAGCATGTGGGGTGTGGGTGGGTATGGGATTTGTGGGGGTGATGTGTGTGGGGGGAGGTTGGCTGGGATGTGTGAGGGGGTGTGGGCATGCAGTCTGTGTGTATGGCAGTGTGAGGGGGGTGCAGGTACATGGGTATGGTGGGGGGTGCATGTAGGACTCACTCTACGAACACACATACAGCCCCTCCCTACATGCACACACACGCACCTGGAGATGTGGGGTGGGGTGGGGTTGGGCTGCTGCCTCCTGTTGACTGCTCCCCTCGGGTCCTATTGCCCCTGGCTTCTGTCATCTTTGACAGGCAGCCAGGAGCAGATAAGTATTTTCTAAATTTTTACAGGCCCCATGGGCTGGATAGAATGGCCTGGCAGGCTGCATCCAGCCCGCGGGCTGTATTTTGCCCGACCCTGCCCTAGGACTTCTGCAACAGTGTTGGTGAAGGAAAAGTGCAATACATAGGGCACCTATACACATGCAGCGAGGATGCTCCGATGTGCTGTGTGTTGGAGCAGACTAGGTTAATGGAGTCTTCTGGAGTGTGGTAATTACCGTGCTCCAGCAGACTCCAGCTTCACGTGTATCAGCATCCCTGTGCTAAGGATTAGGCCTTAGGCAGACATTGCAGGTTAGCCATACACAGTTCTAGTCTTTGTTGTAATTAAATGAAGAAGAAGATTAAGTGAAAAAATGTGTTCTCTGCTTTACAGTTACTTCATTTGTGGCACCTTCATTTGTGCACCTTACAGTGAGTTGCCATTCACTTATGTGAATAGTGTTGTTGAAGCCAAAAGGATTACTTGTATATGCAAATATTATTTTACAAATGAGAGAATTCAGCCCCACCTCCCTAAAGAAAAAAATAAAGAGAAGAATAAATAGTGTTTCCCCTCCTAATTTTATGTTTAAGACCTCAAATGTAAATGGAGGAGGAAACAGCAAGAAAAGAGAGAAAGATTACACATAGGGGAACTATGCAAAGCTTAATTTTCTATAATTGACTGCTCCTCATGAAAGGATATAGACAGGCATTAAGGGGTTAAGTCCCTGTTCGTGTGTGCACACAGATTTTTGACAGCTTCAAGCCTCCAGGATATGATATTTATCTCCAGGTGCATTGTACTCCATATGAACCCCACAGCTTTCATTGCATAACACAACCCAGTTACAAAATGTTACTGTACCAAGATTGTTTACATTATTTCATAATAAAGAAAAGTACTATTACAGAACATTTTCACCCTGAAGGGAAAACTGCTAATTATTGAAAACATTGTGTGTATGCATATGAGCTTCATTGTGTAAAACTGTGGGGCTGGATCAAACAGGATCCTTGGGCCCCGAGGTCAGATGAACTCTCACAGTATGTAGAAGCTAAGTAGAAAGCTTCAACAGACCTGAGTGGTGAGCACTTATTCACCACTTGAGGGGCACTTTAGAGGTATATATGTCCAGCTTTTGTGTGTGCAAAGGAGAAAGAGCAGTGTGGAAGAGCTTATTGTAGCAGGGAGAAGCTAAAGGCCAGATCTAATTAAAGACACAGGTACCTAAAAGTTAGTCCCTTTGACCATCAGTGTGAAACTTTGTGTGAGGTGCCTAGGTTCCCTTTTCATTCCCTTTTCATTCCATCCAGGAAGAGCACACACCAACTGCAGAAACTTCCTTAGCCTGACAAAGGGTTTTTGGACTCGAAAGCTTGCTTAATAATTGTTTGCCAACTATTTCAGTTGGTCTAATAAAAGATATCAGATTCACTGAAAGAGCCTTGTCTGCTTAAGTTCCCTATACATTGTAGTTTTGGTCCCTGCTCTCAAGAGTGTTTCTGTATCTCACCCAATGACTGATAAATGCAAAATGCATAAAGGATCCTGGAAGGAGAGACCAGAATGCAATTGTTCCCAGTTGAGTGACCACCACCAGCCGATGAAGTCACACTCTTTTGTATGCACTTTCCTTCTTGCCCAATATATTTTGAATTATTTTCTGAACAGTGACACAGAAGGAGTGGGGATTGTCTCCACTAAGTGAGTTAGAACACTGTCTTGAGCAGGGCTGGACACAGGCATGGGCAAACTGGGCGGCTGCCCGGGGCCCAGACAGAAAGGGGGCCCGCAAATAGTCATTTAAAAAATTATTATTATCATTATCTCTGGCAAAAGGGGGCCCAATAGTAAAAGTTCACGCGGGGCCGCCAGGAGTCTAGGTACAGTGCTGGTCTTGAGAGAGGTGAGTGATGGAGATTTGAATCCCTGACAGCAAGAGAGGAAGGGGTTTCCCCTGAATCTTAGGACAGTCAGGGGCATCTACTGTATTCTGTTGCCTTCTTTCCCTGCAAGTAAAATTGTTTCTGTGGTGCTATTGGATTTTCTTCAGTACAGTAGGAAAGCATGAACAATAGATTAGTCAAATCAATTTGTCCATTGGGAAAGAATATGGCCTAACAGTGTAAAGACTGGGATTGGCCGTCAGGACTGTTGGTTTCAATTTCTGAGCTTTCCATTGAATTGCTCTGGGAATTTGAGAGAGTCACTCTGTGCATTGTTTCCCCCACATGTAAATGAAGATAATACTCTGCCTTAAAAGAGTAACGAGAGGTGTAATGTTTGTAAAGCTTTTTGAAAGATTATTAAGATTCGGGTGAAAGGCAACGTGGTATATTATTTCTTTTGGCCAGTTCAGTGAAATAGTCCATTTCTACCCTTGTCCACTTTTTTCAACTGTATGTTGTATTGCCTATTGTAACATATATCGGAGGATATGCTATCCCTTCTTTTTCTCTCCCCTTTAAATGTTAGGGAGAGGTCTGTTGTCAGGACTCCTTCAGCTGATGACAGAAAAAGGCCTCAGCTTTGATGAGAAACTTGTCTGCAATTTCAGCCAACAACTAGATGGGCTTAGTTTGTGGATGATTGAAGGGAGTTAGAGTTGAAACAGCTGAGGGGCAGGTCTCACTTACATAGCATGTGTGACTTGACAGTCATGATTATCCACTCTTCCCTCTTCATTATCTTTTCTTTTAAGAGTTTTCTCTTACAATGCCCTCTAGACCTATTTGCTGGGCTGCAATTTTCGATTATTTCAGTAGTTAAATATACTATTGCTTATTTTATCGACTATTTGCACGATGAGAGTTTTTTGTTACCTTTAAAAAGGAGAATAAAAGGGGTGTTTGTACTAAAAGCTATCACAGAATTATGTATATCAGGTCTCAACAGCAATAGCGCGAATATGTCTGTATTTATCCCATGAGTATGTAAAATAGAAAATTGCACAGCCTGCTGTTGTTATCCTGTTCACCAAGTTGTTTTGAATTGCAAAGAATTGGTTGAATCCAAAGATTACAAAATGCGTTGTGTTGTTCACATGCCAGGTTACAGCTGTACATTACTAGATTTTTATTACTGAACTAGGCTGGCTCAGCAAAACTGTAAGCGCTTTCATATATTTGTGGTATGCTAAAATTAACAAATGCCCATTCTTGGGATCCAAGTAAAGCAATCACTGTTCAGGGAAGAGTTTCATTAAACACAGCTCTATTCTCAGTTGTCACCACTGGTCCACTGAACTTACTATGTAGTCTTGCATTCCACATTACCATTAATCCCTTCCAAGCTTTTGAAAGAAAAAAGAAGCACCCCTTTCTCCTTAGACTGAGCCAAAGTATATTCAAGTCTGCATGCTTGGATCAGGCCCTGGCTCTTTCCTATATATGTATTAAAAAACAAGTTCGCAGTAGACTGATTCAGCTGTTATTTGTTATTTATCTTCTATCAAAGCAAGTCTAGCTTTCCATTGCAGCTCTGCCAGGGTCCCATAATCTTGCTCTGGAAGGGACAACTTGTAGGGTTAGAAGAGTGAATCATTCCTCACGAGCATCATACTTTAGCTTGTCTTCAGAAAATGGGTGTCCATAGTAGTGGTATTCAATGATGTGGTCACGTGTCCTGTATGATGAGGAGAAGACCATTAATTCATTTTACATGGGCTACTAATCAGTCATCCTTGATGAGGTTTTTAAAAAAATCAATTGCATTCTACCCTAACCATCCAGATTGTTTATATATAGAAAAGTGACCGTGTCAGTGACATTCAGCTTCAGACAACAGCTGCCTGATAGTCCATAAAACTAGAATGTTTATTAGCTGAACTGGGGGGGCAAGCAACAGCCATTTAGGACTTTCATCAGTATGGTTTATTTAAAGAATCATAATATCACCTAACAGCGTTTGGGCCATCATTTCTGCAGAATATATACACCTGACCATAGATGTACTGTAAGCAAACAAAAAGGTTTGTGTTCATGATTTCCTTTTTATATTTACCTTTGTTCATGTGCATGATTCCAGGGGCAAAGAGCCAGAGGGAGTGGGGGTGCAATGACATGGATGCACCCTCCCACATTTCAGTTGACCATGCCACAGAAACAGTCCCTAAAGCAAGTGAGAATTCCCCAATCCCTTCCCCTCCATGCTTAGTGGCACCTTCCCTCTCCTGTCCTCCATCCATACCTGCCAGTGTCACCAGCTGCCCCAAGGGCAGGGAGGGAGCTCCACAGCTCCTCTTGCCTCCAAGTAAAGCAATTACCAGTGACAGTGCAGTGTGCAAATGTCTGTCCACATCTCCATAGCAGACCAATGCCAGATAGCTCCTCCTTCCCCTACATTTCTACTCCCATCAAAACCTCCATGTGGAAAATTTATACAAGTTACACAGTGCAAAGTAAATAACAGAAAATCCAGGAGCCACATGTTCCTATCACCCTTTCTTCAGGTCTGCAATGTTTGGACCTTCCATATCCTCTTCATCCCCTTCCAATAGATTACAGACTGTATTTATTCCCATGCAGGTCCCCCAGGGTGCCAAGCAGCACACTCGTCTTCCAGCTGCTAGTCATCCAACATCACAGGTGAGTCTTGCCCTGGCCATGTAGTTTTTCAGGGCTCTCCTGGAGCTTGCCACCACCAGTGGGTTTTCCCCAGGTTTCTAAGTTGCAGATGACCTGTCCTGGGCCAGGATAATTATTCCCTGCTGGCTGCCGGTCTTTACACCATGGGGAATGGCAGGGAGCAGGAGAGGGTGAGCGGGGGGTTTCTCCCCATTATTGCTTCTCACCCTTCCACATGTGAATCCACTAATGCATGTGTTAGAGACATAAGTTGAAATTTTGGTGCTGTGGGTGGCACAGGAAGAAGGGCTGCCACAGTTGTGACAGCAGCACAGGCTGCTCCTACCTCAGCAGAAGCTCCCTAAACATGGGTTGCTTCTGTGGTGATGGCATGGACTCCCTAGGAACTGCCATTGAGTGCCCACTCTGAATTGGTGCCTGGGCCTGGTGTCCCATTTGCCCCTCCCAAGTTATGCTACTGGCATGTACATGCAGGCACACACACCAAAGGAAGAAAATAAATTTAATCTTTTATTTTCCAGCCACCGAGAAGTAAAACCTTTACATCATAACAGATGTTGAGCATCAGTGGAGAATTCAGAAATAAATCATCCGATGTAACATTGTCATGCTTAACTAATAATTTAATTACCTTTGGATTTATAGGGCACCTCAAGTCTGCATCTCAAGTCTGGTGTCAGTAGAGAAGCCAATTTCTGTCCTTTTTAAAGACAAAGAATAAACATTAACTATAAATTGCAATGGAATATCTACATATAGGACATGTCTCTGTGACAGACTGAGTTCCTACAGCTTCCCTTGCCTCTCAGTGGGCATGTTTACATGTGCATACTTACTGTGCAGTAACTATGGTGACTGAGGCTGACTCGGGCATTAATTTGCTACCTGTGTGATACAGGTAGTACATTTAAGCCCGAGTAGTTACTGTGCAGTAATACACGTGTAGATGCATTACTGCACAGTAACACTGTGTGTGGGGGCTGACTTGGGACTGACTTTACTCCCAAGTTGGTCCACACACAGTGTTACTGTGCTGTAATGCCTGGTTGTGTAGATTCTGGCCCAAAAAAGGCTTACTGCACAGTAAGTTACTGAGCAGTAAATGTATGTGTAGACATGCCCAGTGGAGCTTTTAGGTCCTTTTCACTTACCAAAGCCAGATCTTAAAAGTACACTTAGTAATTTTGGTAGTTGTTAGTAAGTTTAGTTTTTGTTCTATGAAGTAATCCCAAAACTGAAATGTCAAATACTTCTGACTCAGCTTTTCCTGTTTACCCTTGGAGTTTTATTTTGAAGGTCAGAATGAAGGAACTTTTCTTGTCAGATATTCCACCAAATGAGAATACTCCAGTAGGAAGCTGAAAATATTGAAACAATATTATTTGAACATAGTTTACTAACCACTCATGCTTAAGACAAATTCCTTGTCTAAAAAAGTTTATTTTAGCCTCAGAATTAGTCAAATCCAAAGGTTCCAACCATTCAAAGGCTTGCATATATGTTCAGTTTTGTATCACTTCATTGATATTATTCACAGCTGCAGATATCAGTCTTGGCGGGATTGGGATCTACAAAATACTTTCTACATGGCCTGCTCCCTTTACAGCTGTTTGCAAAATATTTGTGAAAGAAGAAATGGTCCCTGAATTGTAGCAAATGATTTCTGTGCTCAGATCTGGGAAAGCAATCATGCCATCAGGCTACTGACACACTCTAACCTGAATTTCAAAGTTGGTAAACTGATGAGAGTATAAGCTTCAAGACTGACAATCAGTAGACTCTCTGAATATCAATTTTGCTTTGACTCTCCTGTTACTTACAGGGAGCGAGTTCTTAGTTTTTGCAATACATACTTGAACCGTAACGCTCAAAAATCACTGTTTTTATTCAAATGAAAAAATGGTGATTTGCCACAATGCAATAAATGCTGCTTTTCTAAAGATAACTTAGAACCATTGAGCTGTGGCTTGTGGCCTTGGTGTCTCGGCTTTTATTTCCTTTAAATAGATTCAACGTAGCTTTCTGCATGTTTGTCATGTTGAATGAATAACAGACAGTGGGCATGGTACCAGAACTAATGTCTGTCTATTACATAAAATAGAAAAGGCAGCCTTTGAATTAAAGAACTAGAATTCCATCAAGGGGTTCTCCTGTGTCCAAAAAACCAGGAGAGCAAGGAACTTAAGTATATTAGGACACTGAGAGGGAGCTGTAGCTAGTAACTCAAAAAGGGCCTAGTTGGTTTTTAATAATCAGAGTGCCGTGACTATGAATGGTGGCCTCTTCTTTTGAATTACCTGCTCCCTTCCTGAGCCTACAAACTTCACTTCACAAATCTACTGGATACAAAAAATCATGGCCTAAATATAGACATTGAATTTATGGCATATTATAACCTGTCTGCCATCAGATAACCCCAGGTAACCTGTCTGCATTTTACCAGCTAAATTCTATCAACAGTTCTACATTATTCCTTCCCCCCCACCTGTCTTGCACCTAATGTCTCCCATTTCCTCAGGGTGTTTGTGCCCAATAACTTGCAAAGACCAATTTTTCCAGCTATTTAGTTGGTGTAATAAAAGATATCACGTCTACCTAAAGAACCTTGTCTGCCTATGTCCTTAAACCAACACGGCTACAGCCAACAACCCCCTGCTCCCCTCCTTAAACTTTCAGGTTTTTTCATGCTCTCATGCTCCCTACTCTACCCTTTCTCTTAATACTTCTGTCTGCCTTCTTCTATTGCTGCTCCATGCTTCCATGGCTTTATTTATTACATCATGGTAAGCAAGCACCGGAGGAACTTAATGTACTGCTCTGATGTTCTTGCTTTGGCCGTTGCTCAATGCCACTCCAACAGCATTGCCTCTCTTGTGCATGTTGACCAGTACTTCACCCTGTGAGAAGTCCCATTGACGTACCTTTGGTGAACTGACTCATAAATGACTAATCAGTAAGACTACTGATGGAGGAAGGTACTGCTCAGTGGGCGCATCTACATGTGTGCTTTAACGGGTGGTAGTCTATTTTACTGTGCATTAAAGCATCACATCAAAAACTGTGCTAATATGCTAATGCACAGTAAAAATAGGCTATTGAGCATTAATAAAAATAGGTTAGTGCCTCACTAAAAAAAGCACGCACTTTCACTAGTGTGCATTAGGACAGCCTAATGCGTATTTATTTAGTACCTCACATTGGGTACCTGTACACAAACACAGAGGCTGCTCCAGCATGCTGTAATTAGTGTCAGAGCAGACTCGATTAATCGATTCTGCTGGAGTGCAGTAATTACTGTGCTACAGCAGTGGCGAGGTGCTTGAAAGAAAGCTTGTCAAACAAGATTTAGTTCAAGTGCCCCCATCACCATTTTTAAGCACAGGAATGCTGATACGTGAGATGCTGCAGCACTTTAATTAGAGGGGCTCTTGGAATTGCTCTAATTAAAGCGCCTTCCAACCTATCCCCAGAGCACTTGTAAAAGTGGTACTAAAGAGGTACTAAATGTAATGTGCATTAGCAAAAGTGCATTAATAAACATGTAGACACGCCCAGTGTGATTAAAGGATAGCAGGTTGATTGTATCTTGCAGTTCTCTAGTGTGTTATCCTATAGTATGAGAGAGATTTAATAAATTGCCATCATGATGGTAAAAAATGGGCTGTACGTTCTTAAAACTTATTTTTAATTAGTGTAGATTATACTTCTGATAACTTGTTGGATGCTCCCTTTGTTTAATGTGTTTATAAACTTGAGATTTAACCTCATTAAATTTTGTCATGTAAGTACTATAAAGGATTGAATCCTCCTCAAATGTGTTTGTTAGTCATAACACAAAAACATTTCAGCTGTAGTATAAGAAATAAAGCTATAGGATATTAACCATCAGCTTAAAGCTGTAGGTAGAACTAGGTAGAAATGCCATGAGATGAAAACTAAATCTAAATAATTTTCTGAATTTCTGTTATTACAGTTACCTGTGGTAGCCAAGAAATAGTCTGTCTTTATTTTTACTTTCTTTCTAACCTGCCCCTGTTATCTACTGTAGGTGTAATATTTCAGTGCATATATCTACATTCTCTGAAAATACATCATCAACTGTTGATCTGACTATTTGCAAGGCTGCTTTGTTTAAAGCGAGCTCCAATTCTGGCAGGCCTGATGTTTTGATAGATTCTTAAATACTATGATAAATGTTAGGGTTTATTAAGTTCCAACTTTCTATTTTAAGTAGTAAACACTGCACCAGATGTGGGTGTGAAGGACACGGTAAAAGCAGAGTGAGTACTGTTTTTATTAAACATTTTTAGCTTCCAGTACTGAGAATTTCAACTCATTGTTTAGGCTTTAAAAAAAAAACTGCTGAGAAAAACAGGCTTACGCAACTTCATTTGCATAAGGATAGTGAGTCATCCACATCTCGCCTTTGTGTTACTTCACTTTATATAACCTTTCTTTGGTTAAAAAAGTACCACTGTGAACACTAGAAGTGGATTTGGCTGATCAAACAAAGAATAAGAAAGATAGCCACTAGGCAGATCTGTAGCCAGTTAGATCCCAGGTACAGGTCAACAGGCCAGCTATAAAGTTTGTTCATTCTTCTTGGGGGTCCAGTCTTACAGGCCTTAAATGGGCAAAACTCTCTTTGAAATTATATATGTAAGGGGAAAGACCTAATCTGTTCCCTAACAGGCAGAGCACTGGGCAACTGTTGTAACCTTCTAGTAATAAAGGAAAAAAAAATCTACCCTACCGCTTCTTTTTACACACAATCTGGGACAGCCTTAATTGAAAGGCTTTTGAATACACAACCCATGCTGGAAATGCAAGTGTATTGGCAATTTGAAGGTCTCTGCCACTCTGTGGTCTCTGGATTGTTGCACATTGAGTAACCACAACTTGCTGCATTGCTTCAGGCTTGAAACAAGGACTTGTGGACTTATCCTGAGCCTCAAAATGGTTTGGATTTGGTGACTACTGTTCTGATTATGCCATTGCTGATGGAGACTTGCCACCTCTTTAACCATGAGAAGCCTAAAAATAGAGCAGTGTTAAGAATGCCACACGGATGCTGATTGTGCTATAGGGGTGCATCCAGACGAGCGCATTTGTGTGGTATGTGGTGCTGCAAACACATTTGCATGATGGCCTCCAGGAGGCCCCCAGGACCCTAGGTAAGGCTGCTGGTGCCAGCAGCATTGCTGGCCCCAGTCTCCCCTGCATCACCCAGGGCAACTTGCTGTGCGCCAAAGTGCATGTGGCATGGGCATTCCCCACAGACAAGAAGCAGCGGTGCAAGGTACCCCGCCACTATTTGTCCCCAGGGAACCAAATGTCCATGCACATCTAGACGCTCCCTAGATGTTCTGTGGCCAAATAGAAATCTTTAGCCTTAGCAAAACCCATCTGGCAGCTCTTAGCAATGCTATATTCATGTAACAATTAAAAAGAAGAAAAAAACATAGTTACTAACATAGTGGCTGATATTGTATTCATCAAATAGAATGTAAAAAGCATGACTATAGCAATTTAAGCAGACTACATCCCACATGACTTTTCTTGCCCTTCCTATGCTGTCACTGTCCTCCCCAGTTACTAACCCAAGTCAAAAAGCTAGGATGAAAAGATGTTTCTAGTATCAGGTCCTATGTAAAGTATATTATACTCAGATTCTTGCACACTGCAAGAAGGCATGTGTTT